AAATTTCAAGAGTCTTGCAAGACAAGACAAGACTTTGCCATTCAAGAAATCTGCAAGACAAGACTGAAAATTTCTTGTCTTGAATTTTAAGACAAGACAAGAAATTGATTTTCAAGACAAGAATTCTTGTCTTGTGCAACACTAGCCGTATCCAAACTACTTCCATTTAAATCCCGAATAACTTATGAAAAAAAATACAAAAATTTTCAAAAATGGGAGCAATTAAAAAACGTGCGAGAAGAAGTACGATTTTATCTACTATTTTTGATAGATATAAGGCAATTTTAACAGTTACTATGAAAAAAACTATTTGTTTACTACTGATTGTGTTATTTGAAGGGGATTTGTATAGTAGATGCGGCTGACACATGAAGCATCCACCAATCACGAACGAATTCGAGCTTGGGGCGGCCGAGCAAAATCAATCGCAAATGCTCTTAAATCCCCAACTATTATTATCGACTGCTGCGTAGTAATTTACCGGGCTTATTGACATGTTATGATTGGAAGACAGCATCTAATTGCAGGAGCGATATATTTACAATGTAACAAAGACTGCTGGCGCTGTTCTAATTGCGTACTGGATCACCGAGATATAGATCCACGTTCCTAATTAATCTATGGATAAATGGTTTGTTTCCCGGAGATTGATTTTTTCTTTACGCGTTACTGAAACCTCCTGGAGTAAAATTTATGACGCAAGAGTAGTTCTAAACGTTTATTTAATCTAGGTATGTATTTTATAAAAAAAAATTGGCACCGGGAGGCACGTATAGCCGCCCATACTAAAATATGTTAATAAAGAGTTGGTAGGCAGTTCTTTTAGTTTCAAAGTAAAGGAATTTTTCGTGTGTTAGTTATCGTGTTACAGACGGACAGACGTACAGACAGACAGACAGGCAGACAGACAGACAAGCAGACAGACAGACACCATGAAAATATTTTGTATTCAGGTCATTTATGACCCAAATTACTCATTTTGAGTGAAATTAAAAAACTTTTTTTTGCCGATCTTAATAGCCTACTTAATACCTATTGGTATGGTCGGCTAAAAAACTTGTAAAAAATATCCTAATACTATGTATTGTCACCAAAGCCACCTCGTCATATTGAAAAATATCAGCAATAAGAAATGATAATTGAAAAAATTGCAAATGATTGGTGGCAAGTTCATTTCGCATTTAAAAATTAACCAAGGCATGATCCAAAAAACAAAATACTCAAGAGACATTAGAGGTGGGAATTCTAGTTCCTTGGGAGGAACTAGTTCCTTAGTTCTAGTCCCTCCAGAGGAATAGTTCCTTGAACTAGATCTTTAGTTCACAATAGTTCCCGACTAACATTGACATCCCCCTTGCTTGCTAATGCGTTTCGTTGTCAGTCAGAACTATTCACAGTATGATCTGTATAATTTTTATAATGTACGGAGATAACTGTGTATGTTAAAAACATATAGGTAAGTTTTATTGCAGATAAAAAAAATAAAAAAACTCAAATCAGAATTTAAAAAACTATATCATAAATCAATTGGAGCAAATATTACAAAAATTTTACGAAAAATTGCGTTTTTCCTCAATTCAAGCTTTATGTTTTTGTCTAAAAATTCAGAATATCTACTTCGTTTTATAAGGTATTTCTTAATTTTAGGGACCTAAATTGTAACATTCCCATAAAATATTTAAAAAACAAACTAAAAATCAAAAACAGTATCCACGACAAATTTCTGTGGTAATTACGCCGCGCCGGCTGTGGCAATAGACAAGGCCGAATCCATCGTCGTCGCCTTGTATTATATCTCGGATCTGCCGACTGAATAGATTCCCGTGAACTAGTCTTTTAATAGTTCCTCTATGTCCGGATCCGATAACATACGGCTGGCACTCCCCACGCCTGCCTAGCATCAATCGCGCTGGCTGATCCATACGTAAACTAGTCTTTTATTTAGTTCCTCTAGTTCCTTTAGGTCCGAATCCGATAACATACGGCATACGGCTGCCACTCTCCACTCCTGCCTAGTATCGATCGCGCTGGCCCTATCCGTTCGTACGTAAACTAGTCTATTTAGTTTAATTCCTCTGGGTCCGGATCCGATAACGTACGGCTGGCACTCCCCACTCCTGCCTACAATTGGGCTACGCGCGCTAGCCGATCCGTCGCCGTCGCATATTATTCTATATCGGTCACTGTCTCGATCCCGGAATAAGTCCTGAGGAACTAGTTCCTTGAGAAACCAGGAACTAGTTTCTTTCATTCCGGGGTCGGAATAGTTCATTGGAACTAGTTCGTTCACGAACTACACACCTCTAGGAGACATGCACATCATGGGTCATCAAAACCATCAATTTTGTAGGTACAGTTTATTTTGTTGTAAAATAACATATAGATAATTTATTTATTATATTTATTCTGACACTGATGGTAATTCGATATCCATTGAAAAAATATCCTTTTATATATCATATCGTCAAGTCTTATTTGTTCTTCCCCCAGGTCTATCAAATTTCCAGAATAAAGAAAGGGAAAAAAACGATACATGTAAGAACGTTATTGTGAGTTATCTCTTCCTTTTTTCTATAGAAATATGTATATAACGCTTGTATCCACGCTGTCGGCGATACATTAAGATATTGAAATCCAGGAAACATCAGAGAAAATATCAAATATCTCAGTTTTCCACCGAGAAAATTTGAAATAAAACGCTGGAACAATTTTTCTTATAGCTGGATATCGGATATTTTGATTTTCCAGTATTTATTTTACTGTGAGTTTTGTGTCGTATAAACTGTTACTTGAAATATACAAAGGGATATTAAATAATATAATGTTTTAAGTGCCCTTTCAATTGGAAGTATACCTCAAGAATGTCAAAAATATCTCAATATTTAGCACCTCTTTCAAGTTATCTAACACTCCATCTTAGAAAATCGAAAATCAATGACATAGAAGAAAAACTACTCTGGCGGGAAAAGACTTTTTTTCCTTTTCAACGTTAAAAATTAGATTTCCACAGTAGTGCGAGTGAATAACGGATTTTTAAATCCTTGTATTTTATCACTTTGACGCTCAAGGAGAAACTACCACACTCCACCATAAACATTAAAACGTACAGAATTGACGCTGGCACAAGAAAAGTATGGGCTAGAGATAATTTTTTTAAATACACTATCCAGTATACAGGGTGGTTCGAACTGTATTCCGGAAACTTCAGCAGCATATTCTGCAGATAAAAATAAGTAACAAAGTTTGTATAAATGTATGTCCTAAAATGGTTAGTTTTGGAGATACAGGGTGTAGAAGTTCATTTTTATTTTGATTTTTTTCCAAATAGTTTCTGAAGTAACGTCAATATTTGGGTGAAAATGGGTGTCTGGGAGAGTTTTTTGACATGAGAAATTTGATTTTGATGTCAATATGACTCCTACTTCTAGAGGGCGCCACCTACATATGTTTTAACCTTTGAATAAGTAGACTAAGGAAGGAGCATAATGCTATCCATGTATTCATGCATGGTGGGCGGAAAAGGCACCATAAAAGCTCTCTAGGGTGGGGATCCTTGACAGTTCTGTTTGACGATTCATTTGACACATTTGAATTTGATTTGAAATTTTGTGGATTTGTCAGTCTTTATGGAGCTTATTTTATGTTATTTATTATTTATTCTACTACTGATAGTTGTATAAAGGTAGTAAATCTAGATGGAAATTGTGGCAGAACTTAAATTAACAGTGACACTATCGCGATTTATCGAAAAATACTCTAAAATAGTTGGTTGTGTAGCGTGCGGTAGATCTCGGCAAAAATTGAGTGAAATAATGGAACAACTTTTCGCTAGTAAGTGACTATATAATATACATACGTGTAGTAAACCGATCATTTATGAAATTCACTTAAATTAACTAAATTATATATTTTTCTTGCATTTTAGCTTTTATTTATTACTTGTCAAAGATTAGATGTCAAAAAATTTAGATACGTTAATTTGACTTACCTGCTTCAGTAGCGTATCGGATGTTTGTGTTAATAAATTCTTATTATAACTTATCTATTTTTATTAGAATTATATATTTTTATAACTACCAACATTTATTCACAACGTAAAATAAAACAACAAATTATTGAGTCTACCCCACGTCTACCCTACATCATAGTTTTACATTTGTTAAATAAAATTAGAACGACACTGATAAACCGAAATTTAAGTCGGCCATATTTGAGGCCCATCGCGGTGTACCTAAGATTTTTGATATGCTCCTTCCTTAGTCTTCTTATTCAAAGGTTTTAACTGATTTGAAGTTTAATAACTTTTTGTCCGTACCTGTATAAAACTACTTAGTAAAAAAATATACATTTACGACGTTTTTTACTTATTTTTATCTGCAGAATATGCTGTCGAAGTTTCCGGAATACAGTTCGAACCACCCTGTATAAGACGTGCATTTTTTGGCATGAAATTATTAAGAAATTTGCATGGGGCCAAAAAAAATGTCGTGCAGAAAAATACGGGTAAATTCTAGCGAGTTTTTGCTAAAAATAGTGGCCCTTAGCGCTGGAGCATTGCGAGTCAAGGCGAAGGTATTATTAAAAGCATTAAAAACTAAGAACTATCGATCGTTCGGGATAGAAGTCGAAGGGCAAATTTGGTTCGGCGCGAAAATCGGTAAAAATGGAAAGACCGAGGACGTTTTCTTTCATATTTCGTTTTAAAAAAACACTAATTGTGAAAAGAAATTAATATAAGGATATATTTTTTCTGTTTACGATCAAAATCAACCTATAAAGATCTATTCTAACAGGAAACAACAGTTTTCCAGGTTTATCCTTTTCAAGAAGTCTAATAATTGAAACCTGAACCTTTCTTATAGCTTTTTATCAATGATCCTATGATGTTTTCATTATTGTAGATTCCAAATTGTATGGGAGGATTTCTTAAGGTATAATTTATCATACAGTCAGGAATTAAACAGGTTAATAATAATAATATATATTATTCAAAAACTTACCGTTTATGTTTAGCTCGGTGGCTGCCTTACTGCTATCCCTACTGTTCATCGCTGTATTGTACTCAGTAATCGTAGTACCATAAGACACCGCCGAACCCGTACTAGTACTCCTCCTACCATTATTAATTTGCCCCACAGTAGTCATTTCCGCATCTGGATTCAAAAACTGCTCACTATATCTGTCGCTATATCTCTCCCTGTACGACGTTCTGTGCTGGTGTATCGAATTCAGTATAATATTCGATGAAGTTCTCGACAAGGCCTTCCTTTGCCTTATCGCCTCTTTGTATATCCTACAGTACATCGTCACCATGACAACTCCAGGAATCCAGAAGCTCACAGAACTGGATATTATGGCATAGTATTTGTTCACCACGAAAATACACATTTCTGGATGTTTCGTTTTGTATTCCAGATGCTCATCGGTCGTGTACCATCCAAGAAAAATGGGCATGAAGCTTATAAGTCCTGGAAGCATCCAAACATTTGCCAGCATAAAGGAAACCGTTTTATGTGTCATAGTTATGGGGTATTCCAGAGGCCTCACTATCGCGTAGTAACGATCCACACTGATACAGCACAAATGCAGGATGGATGCCGTGGAAAAGTACACGTCGAAACTGTTCCAGACGTCGCACATGAAAGTACCGAACATCCAGTTGCCGGTGAGTTCGACGCTTGCGTTAAAAGTCATCGCGCACAGTGCTACCAACATGTCGGCCATGGCCAGACTCACCACGTAGTAGTTCGTGATGACGCGCAGTTTCCTGTGCCTGTGAACGCTGATGATCACCAAAGCGTTTCCCAGAACGGCTGCCAAGATGATCGAGGAGAATATGAATCCCTTTACTACGAGGAGTAAGAGGTCTGTCCAGTGTGGATTGGGGTTCTCCAGCGAGGTCACGTTGTTGGTGTGGTTGTGGTGGGAGGAGTTGACTAGTAGGCTTGGCAGTGGTGGTGGGAATGCAGTGGCGGAAGGGGAGGTGTGTGAAGCCATCGCCGTGATGATCATGGTGAGTTTAGGTTCACTGAGCCGGTGGTTAGGTGAACATTATATTTTTTATCTGAAAAAGAAAGAATATTTTCATACATTTTGTTGTACGTCTTTAACTACTTTGATTTTATACAGGGTGGTACAGATAAAAATAAGTAAAATGCTTAGATTCGGAGATAAAAGGTGTAAAATTTTTATTTTTATTTCGATTTTTTCCAAATAATTTCTGAAATAACGTCAATATTTAGATGAAAATTGACGTCTGGTAGTTTTTTGACATGAGAAATTTGATTTTTCTGTCAATATGACTCCTATTTGTAGGGGTCGCCACCTACATGTGTTTTAGCTGTTTTCAAGAGTAAAAACTTTTCGTCCATACCTGTATAAAACTATTGAGTGAATCAGATTCTCATGCCAATCAAATTTCTCATGTCAAAAAACTCCCAGACACCAATTTTCATCCAAATATTGACGTTACTTCAGAAATTATTTGGAAAAAATCGAAATAAAAATAGAATTTTTACACCCTGTATCTCCGAAACTAAGCATTTTAGGACATACATTTATGCGAACTTTTTAAATTATTTTTATCTGCAGAATATGCTGCCGAACTTTCCGGAATACAGTTCGGACCACCCTGTATATTTGTAGAATGGAGAATGAGTGGGACGGGGGTTATTCACCACGACCATACAAATCTATTATTAAGAAATGAATGAAAAAATCTGTGCACTTATCTAAGACGCACCTTTTATATTATTTAAATTTACTTTTATATTTATTTACATAATTAACTCAAACAATTAACTAAAATATATTTTATCGTTGAAATCAAGTTTTACCAATATTTTTCGATTCTATTTTAAGATACGCTATCGTATCCCTTTGCAACTTTCGATTGTCGTAAAAATAAAAATAAAATAATCTAGCCCTTTCAAGGGCGTACACGTCAAACAATCGTAAAGTTTTTCCCCCTTTGTTTTTTCTTCTGCCGTGTTTTCCGCCACACTTTTCTCATTGTTTTTGACAGAAAAGGGCCAATCGATGCGTTAGCTGTCGTAAGCAAAGGTCAACGTAACGAAAATAATAATTTAAGCGATTAGTACCCTTTTGGGGAAAATGGAACTACATAGAAAGACAGTTATGGAAATATAAGAGTTCGTCAGGATCAGTTTCAACGATTTTTGACATATAAGTTAAAAAGATACTAAAAGAATTCAAGAATTTCCTTAAAAACATTCAGTTCTATTAGTACAATATTTATTTTGAAGTTTTGCAAGTTCTACAAATGTTTTTTTTTTTTAATAATCATCAGAAGTTAACTAATACATGATTGAGCAGAAAAATAATAAGTACTTAAACCGAAAAAATAGTATAAAGGGCAAATTAAAACAACTTTCGTTGCACGTCATTAGTGACACCATGCGTCGTCTTATGGAGAGAGACGATGACTTTCAGGCCTCTCTTCTTCACAGAAGACCTGTCGCTGTTCAGCGTTCTTCTTACGGTGTTGTCGCTGGCGTTCTCCCGCCAAGATGTCGATAGGCAGGCATGATGCCACTACACTCACTGCATCCTGTGATACCGTCCGGTATGCTGACGCCACTCTGATCGCTGAGAGTCGGTGGATTGATGCCATTGTCCTGCGATATGTTTTTAGTTCCAGCGACTCTGACCACACCGGTGCTCCGTATAGCAGGAAGGAGGTAACTACTGTTGCAAGTAATCGTCTCCCGGATTGCCTGGGGCCTCCGATATTGGGCATTATCCGTGAGAGTGCGCCCTGAACTGCTCCCACCTTCTTGCTGACGCTGGAGATATGCTCCTTGTAGTTGAGCCTCTCATCCAAGACCACTCCAAGGTACCGAATATGGTATGGTCGCCTACTCTGATGGTGATGGTCTCCGTTTTCTTCCGGCTACTCACTAGGAGTGCTTCAGTTTTATGCTCCGCCAGCGACAGGTCTGCCGATTGCATCCACTGTCTTATCCTCCTGATGGTGATGGAGAATGCAGCTTCCAGCTCCTCCAAATATTTCGCCACAAGGAGGGTTAAAAATTTTAAAAAATCGTAACTCCAAAATTACAGTAGCTAGCGAAACGCGGTTTTCAATTTAAGATTAGGAATAATATTTGCAACAAAATTTGTAATAACATCGAAATCAGTCAAAGTCGCAGTTTTTGAGATCAAAAAAATTGGAAAAATTCCTTTACTTTGAAACTAAAAGAACAGCCTAGCAACTTTTTATTAACATGTTTTAATATGGGCGGCTATTTTTTTACAGAAGAAAAGAGAAATTAAGTTACTTAGGCTGTTCAATCAACATTATTAATAACCATCAAAGAATGAAAACGAAGTGATATCACCATGTTTTTAAGACTTTTTTGAAAAAAATTTAATTATATTTTCATGTTTTTTTTTATTTTTCTCTAAAACGGTATGGAAATTTAGAAAAGTATAAACGGGATTAACCGTTTTAGTACAAGCAAAAACTTTTATGAAGAATGCATTTTCCTCAAAAAGCCCATAATAAAAAGGTTTTTTCCCTCGTAAAAACAATCCGGGGATATGTATAATAACTTCCGGTTATATCTATAGTTTAATGGGCAGTACCCGGCAAAAAGATAACGTACGTTTCGAATTCGGGGGCTTTCGCGCTGCCTTTAATGGATTTAAATAAATCCGCTTATTAAATCTTTAAACGGAACACGTTGCCAGTTTGTTCTCTCTAATGTTCGCTATTAGTTTTCGGGTTACGGCACCGTAAAACATACGTTTTAATAATTTAATGTTTGCCGACGCCTTTTAGGCGCTCAACGTATTTCACGTGCTTCGGGGGGAATTTACAGATAAAAAAGCTGTAAAAAATAATAATGTTCCGATAAAACGGTTACTAGAGTTGCTTTTTTAAAGTTGCCATAATCATTTTTTTATCAAAATTTTAATATACAGTCCGAACTGGTATTCCGGAAATTTCGGCAGCATATTCTGCAGATAAAAATAAGCAAAAAAGTTCGTATAAAAATGTACGTCCTAAAATGGTTAGTCACGGAGATACAGGGTGTAGAAGTTTTATTTTTATTTCGATTTTTTCCAAATAATTTCTAAGTTTCTTCTCTAAGTAACGTCAATATTTGAATGAAAATTAGTGTCTAAGAGTATTTTGACATGAGAAATTTGATTTTGATGTCAATATGACTCCTACTTATACAGGGTTGTTCACCACATACGACACGGAGTATTGTGGCTAAACGATGGTATTTTTATAAATTGTAAGTTTGGGGTTCGTTGAAGGACTATTAGAGCTACAATTTAAAAATATTTTTACAAGATACAGAGTGTCCCAAATAAAAAAAAATATCAAAGTTGTATTTTTTTAAATGGAACACCCTGTATATTATTATATTTTTAGTTTCTACAATTAAAAAAAAGGTAAATTTGATTAAAGTTTATTATACTTAAACCTTACCGTTTTTGAAATATTTTCAATTTTGTGAAATTGCAGTAAAAATTTTAAAGCTTCATTTCTCCAAGGGTATTAATGTTTTTAATACTAAATATTTAATGAAGTTTATTTATTGATCAGTTATTGTGTTGCAATAATAAAAATAATACTACCTTATACAGAGTGTCTAAAAATTTATTTTAAATAATTATTAGCTTCAAACGGCAATAACTTCTTTAATTTAAATGGAATGCCCTGTATATTTTAGGAGAATCAGATGCACAATTAAATTGTCTATCAAATTGTATTATACCATTTTTACCTATCCCTTCAAGTTTTCGTAGAAAATGCATTTTCTTTTTAATTTAGACCTCATTTATCAATATATCCATGGAATATTGACATTTTAGATTGTTTTTTAAAGCAACAAATGTACAAAATGTACAGACTAGTAATATTATCGTTTTTAGCAAAACGATAATATTACTAGCCCATTTGTATGCAAAAAAGAAAACTATTTAAATCTTTATAAAAAGAGTATACCATTAATTAAATATAACACCATTATTTCCGCCCATATACTAATTAATTACATACTTAATTGTGTTCGTTAATAAATTATTTTAAATAAATGTGGATTTGAGTCAGAAATCAATATAATAATAAGTTATCAAATTAAAGTCTCTGTTGTTATAAATAAACATTTATTAAAAAATGAAATATCATTTTTAAGGTGTTACTTTTTATCACACTGTCTAATGCCCATACAAAATTCAGTTTTTTAGTATTTGAAGCAATTATTATTAATCAACGCAAACAGTCAGTTAATGTGGTTTGAATACTGGAATCATATTAATTGGTCCTCTTTAACAAATATTTAAACAGTTTTTTTATTTTTTAAAGAAATAAACGAATTATATCGACAATATTAGTATCTGTACTCTTTAAAAATTTGGTACATCTTTAAAAATAATCTAAAATGTCAATAGTCCATGGGTATATTGATAAATAAGTTCTAAATTACAAGAAAATGCATTTTCTACGGAAACTTAAAGAGATAGGTAAAAAATGGTATAATATTATTTGATAGACAATTAAATTGTGCATCTGATTCTCGTAAAATATACAGGGCGTTCCATTTAAATTAAACAAGTTATTGCCGTTTGAAGCTAATAATTATTTAAAATAAATTTTTAGACACTCTGTATAAGGTAGTATTATTTTTGTTATTGCAACACAATAACTGATCAATAAATAAACTTCAGTAAATATTTAGTATTAAAAACTTTGATACCCTTGGAGAAATGAAGCCTTAAAATTTTTACTGCTATTTCACAAAACTGAAAATATTTCAAAAACGGTACGGTTTATTATAATAAACCTTAATCAAATTTACCTTTATTTTAATCGTAGAAACTAAAAATGTAATAATATACAGGGTGTTCTATTTAAAAAAATACAACTTTGATATTTTTTGCTTATTTGGGACTCTGTATCTTGTAAAATTATTTTTAAATTGTAGCTCTAATAGTCCTTCATCGAACCCAAAACTTACAATTTGTAAAAATCTCATCGTTTAGCTACAATACTCCGTGTCGTATGTGGTGAACAACCCTGTAGAGGGA